GGGCGGAAGCCAGGCGGGCAACTGCCCTGCAAGTGAGGCTGGACTGGGGGTGACTCACAGAGCTCACAGAGTTGGGCTGGTCCGGCGCCTTCCACTCTGCTTCTGTGTAGTCGCTGCCGTCTTACTTGGCCTTTGTTTTCTCAGGCTGCTCACTCGATCTCACAGTGTGGCTTGGGTGCTCTCAGGAATCTTCTTTTGTGATGGCCCTAAAACCTCGAATCTGTAGTTGCTTTTTTGTCATTGTAGGTTAGTTGATCAAAGATTTATTCATTTTTTGTTGCTCTTGGAAATGCAAATAGAACTCTGGTATCACAGCACACACTTCTCAGGGTCACGCTGTCTCCTGGCACGGCCGCTCCAGACCCATCACCATCTTCAGTCTCTACTCTTCTTATTTTAGTGTAGGGTAATGGTATTGCTTTTTAAAAATTTTCATGGATAAGTTTTGTTACTTGGTAAATAGAAATAAATAGCATTGATTAAAACAGACTTTATATCTTTACAGCAGTTTTACATTAAGTGCTAAATTAAGCGAAAGATACAGAGAGTTCCCATATGTCCCCTTCCCCACATGCACAGCCTCCCCCACCAGTGTGGCACGTTTTTAACAACTAATATTTGTCAATTTACCTTGAAACATATAGCTTTCCCTAGCTGACTTGTTTTTGTTTTTGTTTTTGTTGTTGTTGTTGTTGTTGTTGTTGTTGTTGTTGTTGTTGTTGTTTGGTAGCTTCATTTTTTAATTTTTTTGGAGATTCCTTCCAATTTTTTTTACCAGCATAATCATATTATTGGTGAAGAAAGAGTTTTACTTTTTCCTTTCCAAAACTTATTCTTCTTTATTTCTCGCCTTGTTGCGCTGACTAGTTTCTCCAGGACAACGATGAGCACAGGGGGCAGATTTCAACAACTTAACATTAATGTGCTGACAGCTGTCACATTCTTACATGCTTTTAACAGACACGGGCTTAATTTCCAAATTTATTTTGCAGACAAGTGTCATGAGAATGTGCTCAAGTTTATCAACTTATTTTTTCTTCTTTTATCTACCAAGCAGGTAACATATTGTTTTTCTTCTTTAGTCTATTAATGTGCTGATTTACAGTAGCTGATGATTTACAGAAGTGGACTCACACAGTATTGAAGTAACCATCATCAAGCACGCAATTCTGCAGCATTTTGTGCACTCACTGTTGTGCAGCTGCCACCTCCATGTCCTGACCTTCAATTCTGGAACAGCTCCCAATAGGTCTTCTAGGTCATGATATCGCACACACCTCACACATTGTTATATTCCATTCCCAGAGCTGTTTAGGACTTTCACTTCTTTCATGAGAGATAATGGCCTGTACTTTTTTTCATTTAATATTATTATAATTTTTTATCTTAGAATTACACAAGTCACATAGAACTAGTTAGTACTTGTGCCCTATTTCTTTATTCTGTGAAAGAATGTTTGCACGATGGTATTTGTTTCTCAGATATTCATGGGTTACAAGGCTAAATATTATATAAAGAGGTAAATTTCCACATTTGGACAAACTGAGCTGTGCTTGCAGAGAAGCACCAATAAAAACTTCAGAATGTATATTTTATTTTGGTTGTTGTTGAAGTTTACAACTAGATACCAAATGTTTGTGAGACTTAGAAGGGCCCCAAACAGGCAGGGTGATCTGAAGAAGGTAAACAGGTTTGAGGATTTGACAACTTGACGCCAGGCCTTGTCATGAACATGTGTAACTCAGGCAGTTTGCAATGGCAGAGAGAAGGACAGTGCACCTTCATGCTGGGTTGGCAGCAAGAGACAGTGACTGGATGTCCACATGAGGGAAATATAAACTGGATCCCTAACACCAGTTATACTCTAAAAAAATTAATTCGAGTTGGATTGTAGATTAAAATGTGAAAACTAAAATGTTAGAGATTTAAATTTTTAATTTCTATAGTATGTGTAAAGTGGAAACAAAACAAAACAAACAAACAAACAAAACACAGGGCCTAAAATACAATAAATATGAAGGAAACATTTGATATATTGGGTTTTAAAATTGAAATTTTCTTCATCATGTGACACCATTGTGAGAGTGAAATCAAGAGCAGTAATGTGGGAAAAAGTAACTCAACGTACATTTACCCCCCGAGGACTCCTCTGCACCTGCCAGAGTGGCTGAAAACACAGAGAGCAGCAGAGGACAAGCAGACAGGCAGGAGCAGCTCCGGTGTTCGTGGGGATGACAGACAATCAGAACTTTCAGTGCCTCGGATGTGACAGTAGGTTGATGTGGGCATTGGGACAATCTGTTTGACGCTGTCTCCTAATGTTGAGGACAACTGTGCCAGTGACCTGTACGTTCTGCTCCCAGGAATGGGGGTGAGACGTGACATTGTCCTTTTGTCACATGGATAAATACCAGCACAGTTAGAAATCAACATATGACTCTATTTCTAACATGTGTTCACACGACAGATTTACCTACATATCTCCACAGAAGGACATGCAGTTTTGCCCCTAGCAGCACCATGTGTATGTCCTGAACTGGACACCAGCTGCCTGTCCTCTCACAGCAGGTGTTCAGTGCACACAACTGTCCACGTTTGGATTCATTCACATGAAGTCAGAGACGGGGCAGCAAGAACCCGTGGTTTAGACATCGGGTGTGACTCATGTGCAGAAGGGCTTGGAGAAAGCAGCTTCAGGGGCTGTGCTACAATTGTAAAGAAGCAGTGGTTATTTTACAGTTTTGGAGGCTGGAAGCCCAGGATTCAGGGGTGCATCTGGTGAGGGCCTTCTTCTGGGTGGTGGCTCTCTACAGGGTCCCAGGGTGATGCAGGTGTCACATGATGGCTGAGCAAGAGCTTATACCTATGTGCCTCTTCCTCTCTTTGAAAAGCCCCCATCTCCTCCCTGGTAACTCATCAAACCCTAACCCAAGAATCCATCCATGAAGTCACAGCCCTCACAATCCAATCACCTCTTAAAGTCCCCAACTTTCAAGTACCTTATTAGGGATTAAGTTCCAGAATGAGGTTTGGAGGGGACACACATTGAGACCAATGAAGGGACCCTGGAGACATTGTGAGTTTTGACCTAGGTGCACCTTAGCGAGTGGTGTGCAGAGGTGACATATGTGGCATTTAAGGCTGGCACTCTTTTCTGCAGGACTGCCTCCTTTTCCTGGAGTGTCACCTGGGCAGTGGCAGGTGGGCTTACACTAACAAGGGCTTTCACAGACCTGATATGGTACCTCGCCTGGCCATCTTTGGTAGCATACCTACCAGAGTGCTACTGCCCATAGAGATGTGCTCTGACACTTTCTCCTCCTGGCTTCTAGGAGCAAAGGTCATGCAAAGCACTGGTTGGAAGGACTTTCTGTCCCACATTAGGGTCTGTGTCAAAGCTCTTAAGATGGGGGCCTGGAGATGTCTGTTTCTGGTTCAGGATACTTTTCATAGAAGAACTCACACCCATCTCTCTTCCCACACTCCGTTCTGACCCATGCTTATCCTTACCACTTTGGTGAGTGGTCTCAGTTCACAGTGAGGTAGCAGGACTTGACCATGCCCTGGTGGAGGAAAAATCATTGTCTACTTTTACCTTTTAAGGCATATCCAAGTGTATCATTGGCGATGGGATAATTGATTCATTGTTGTTCAATCTGCTAAGAACGTGTCTATTTTCCTGGATGAACAAATCCTGTCACTAGAGCTGTGACACGGAAACCACCTGGGACAGCTCAGTAGAACTCAGTAGCCTAAGACTGAGCAGTGCAGGACAGTTCTCTGGTGGCCTTGGGACTCCAGTTCTCCCCCTTTCCCTGCTTGTAGTTCTCAGGAATAACTGTTGAAAGTGCTGGAAAGACGACATCCTGAGACAGGGGTGGACTGGACAGAATGTCCTCGGCTGTGTTCCCATCCCTCCCAGGGAATGTAGCATCTTGAGTTAGGGAGGAACTGGCTGGGACAGTGCAGCATTTTTCCTTCCTCCACTGGATACAGGACGTCCTTCAGATATTTAGCCCAGTGGGGCATGTGACCTCTGAGGTTCACCACCTGGAGGAGGCTGCCTTTCGGGGTCCTGTTGCTGTGGTACAGGTGGGACACACAGAGTTGAGACTCCATCTGCCCTGGGCAGCTTTCCTGAGTGTTGCGGGACAGCTCACAGAGATCCAAGGCTTCTGTCCCTTGTCTATCTGTGAGTGATAAAAATACTTCGTGTGACCTGTTGCATGTGAGCATGCTCTGTCTCACTGTATGCAGACACGCTGGTGAATGTGTGCAGTGAGCCTGCGTCTCCAGCTGCACATTCACATTTGGCCTCCGCATCCACCCATTTCCACCTGAGCTCACGGCTGCTGCAGTCCCTCTGCCACGTGGCCAGGTGTGTTGTGGAGACCCTGAGAGCAAGAGACGCCTCTAGAGTCTGCAGGTAACCTTGAGACCCATGGGGACATGGAGAACTAGTGGCCACGATGAGTTGTCCATGTCCCTCTCCACCAGCCGGTCCTTAGGAGAAGTGGCCCTTGCTCCTCACGACCTCAGCCCAGCCTGGTGTGGACTTGTCATCCTCACCTCAGGCTTGACCTGGGCTCTGGACACTTGGTTAGGGGGGACCATGAGAGCCTGGACCACAGCTCCCTTCTCCCTCCCTGTGCCCATGCGGGAAATGGACAAAGGAACTTGTAGGTGAAGAGCAATTCAGAAAGGAAATCCCTCCAGGCCTCCTCTGCACTTGCCTCTGGGACTGGACCGCTGCCTGCTGCGGGTTCCCTGTATGACCTGGCGGCCCTGTGTGCCCTTGCAGGGAGGTCTGTGTCTGAGCTTGCACTGACATCTCCTCTCTATGTCTCCCACAGTAATGCACTCCTGTGTCCTCAGGGGTCACACTGTATTTGCAGATACAGCGTGTTCTTGGAATCATCTCTAGAAACAAATTTGCCTTTCACAGGCCCAGCGCACTTTTCGTGAGGCCACCTGCAGGGTGTCTTTTCAAACCAACCCACTCCAGCTCTTCCCTGGAGCCTGCTGGACCCAGATCATCCTGTTGTTGCTGAAGGTGAATCCAGAGTCTACACAGGAGAGTTTCAGAGACCCCACAGGCTGCACCAAGTCTCCCCTGGACTCCTCCAGCTGTACATCATGCCAGACACCTGCAAACACAGAGACATAGTGTTTACATGGACTCACATGGATGCAACACAGGCACACACAAGACTCTCGGTGCACCCCACTCCTGAAAATGACCTTGGTCGATGGTGAGGAATAAAAGCCAGCTTGGCACAGAGTTCTTGGTGGAGCTGCTGGGTTCTGTCCTGTCCCAAAACTTGGGTGGAGCTTCTCTTTGAAAATGCCTGGCAAGCCCCCTCTTTATATCAGGAGAGGAGAATCCATTTGCATGTGCTGCAGACACAACTGTGCAGCCGGAACCCTGTGCTGTGTGCAAGACCTTGTCATCCTATGAATGACCCCAGGTGCAGCCAGGACCAAGAATGCCAGCAACAAGGTGGCCCCTGTCCTGAGCATCCCTCCCACTCTGTCTTAACAAGACCCAGATGATCCGACCCATCCCTTCTGATATGATCCTCAGCAATTGAAATCCCTCTGGCCTCAGGGTTTTGTGGATGTGGGTGAGGAGCCTGTGAGGTCTGCCCCAGAGGTGCCGTGGTTGGGGCCATCTTCCTACTTTCCTTCATTTCTGTGTGACGTGTGGCCTTTCCAGGTCTTGGGAATAAGAATTTAAAATGGAACAGCTTTTATATTTTGAATTGGAAATTCTTATTTTTCCCAGTATGGTCTTACACAAAACTCTAACATATAAACCTGATAGAAAGGCTTCATCTGAGGCTGTGGCGGGCATCCTTGTTTTATTGACTTCACTCCCTCAGCATGAAAACTGTCTTCCTGAAATGAAGGTCTCAGTCCTTGTCACCACTGTTATTGTCCGAGAGTTTTGTGTCCGCCAAGCAACTCCAGTTCTGATAATTTCCCTCAGTTGTAAACAAGAAGGGAAAATGTTGGCTGTTAGGATCAAAATTCCTGGATATAAAGTTAAGTTGATGAAATATCCAGGCACCAAGGACCCCACAGGGATACCCCATCTCCTGCCAAGCATGGGTCTTACAGAGGGAGCGAACTTTCCTAGGGCTACAGATTGGAGTTGAGGAAAGCGGGGGAAGGGAAAGGAGGTTGAGGGATCATTGGAAAGGGACAAAGGGGACAAAAGTAATTTCTGGTAATGGGTGTGCCCAGAATATGAATCTGGAACCCACATCATGGGCAGGAAGGGGGACAATCAGCTTTGTATTTCATGAATACTTGAAATAAGTAAATAAATAAATAAATGATAAAATAAAATAAAGAAAGAACAGAGAAAAGACAAACCAAGACTAGAACAACTTAATAGAACAGATGGAAACAAACAGCACATAGAACTTTCAACCAAACCACAAAAATATATACATTTTTCTCAAGCACACATGGAACATTTTACAGAATAGATTATATTTTATGCAACAAAGCACATATGAAAATTAAAACTGTTCCAATATCTATTCTGACCACAGCAAATCCATAGTCACAATAAGGTGTAATTCACCGATGTGAGGAAACTAAAGAGCACTCGTGTGAACAAGCATTTTATCAACAGGAAATGAAAAGATGATTGTGAAATATCTCAAGAAATAAAAATTAAAGCACAGTTTAACACAGGTTATGAGATGTGGCCAAACCTTCACAGTGAAAAAGAACAGTCAGGAACAGCTTCGTTGAACAGTTATGGGACCTCAAGCAGCTGTCCCGGATTTGTTCTGAACACTCTAGTTCTAGGACATATTTTGAACCACGACTAAGTAGAGACATCGCTGGGATACATGGACGGTTAAAACAAGCAAGTTGCTGCATGAGACAAACCACGTCACCGAATGAAGTGGAAACAGCACGATCATCTCAACAAACGCAGAAAGAGCATTTGTTACAATTCAAGATATTTTTTATAATAAAAAATTTCAACAAGTTATTTATAGAAAAAATATACCTCATTACTTTAAACGTAACACACAACAATCCCGTAGTTAACCACATGTTTAACAGCGACAGTGAAAAGCTTTATACACATGATCAAGAACAAGACATAACCCCTTCTCTCCACTACTCTTCAACATAGAACTGGAAGCACCAGCCAGATCAGTAAGTTAAGAATAAGAAATAAATGAGGTCTACATTGGAAAAAAACAATGAAAATTGTTTCTGTTCGCTGATAACATCATCTTATACATAAAAAAGACTAAAGTTCACACCCCACCTAATAACTGTGAGAACTAATAAACAATCTAGAAATCAACACACAGAAATCATAAGCATTTCTATACACCAAAAAAGCTATCTATAAAACAAATCAATAAAACAAATTCATTTTCTATAGCATCAGAAAAAAGAATTAAAATCTAGGAAAAATTAAGCAAATAGGTGAAAAATGTGTATACTTAAAATTCTAAAGCATTAATGAAAAAATAATAAAAGGACATAGTAAAGGAAAGAATAACTTGTGTTCACAGATGTTAAGAATTAATGTAATTATAAGGTTTATATTACTCGAAGGATAAAACACAATCATTATCAATATCCCATTGTAATTTTTTACACATAAATGAAAAGCAACTCTTAAATGTGTTTAAAAACACAGAAAACTGCAAATACCCAAACCAATTCTAAACTTAACAGAGTTGAAGGCCATCTATGGTTTTTTTTTTTTTTTTTTTTCCCTTTTTTTCTTTTTTCGTGACTGGCAACTGATCGCAACCCTCAGTGTCACGCCCGTACCGGACCAGGACCGGCAACGGGATCGCAACCCTCGGTGTTGCTCCCGCACCTCGCTCAGCCAGTGAGCGGCCGGTCTGTATGTGGGATCCAAACCCTTGGCGGGAGCGCCACCGCCATCTATGGTTTTTATGTAACCAAAAAAAAAAAAGAATTGTTTGCTACTGAAACTTTCTGAGATTATTAGAGTTTAAGTCATGTTCAAATTTCCTGGAAAATATGGATTTTAGATTTTTGGTTTTTCTAGACAACTGTAATCTCAATCGGCCACAGACTGCAAGTCCTGACCCTCCTACTGGTAACTGTCATTCCAATGTCAATGTGGGTTTCTTAGTCCTTGAAGCACAGCTCAGGCATGATCCCTTGCACACCTCTCAGGAGGCAGCCTGGAGCCTTGACTGTGATCTGCACCCACATTCATTCTCTGAGCCTGTGCTTTGTGGGTCCCCCTCAGCTACACACCTACAGGTCAGGAGGTGACCAGGTCTCCATGCAGATGCAGCGGCTTCCTCTCCACCTGCTCCTTTCCCTGCTGCTCTCTCCACTGGCTGCTTCCTAGGGGGTCCCTTTCTGTCTTCATTTCCACCAAGGCAGGGTTATCACTGTTGCTGGTGTATGAATTCAGCAGAGATGGAGAATTCCAGATTCTCACACCACAAGGACGTGGCTGGGAGGGAAAGGGCTGCTGCCTGGTGGTTGTCACATATGATGTTGTGTGAACCTGGCCTAACATTTCTGATCCACAGTAACCACAGTTATCATCTTCTAGTGCCCAGAATATGACATATGAAGAAGTTGTATAACCCATCATCCAAAGTGTGAGAAGCTCCATTAAAAATGGGCAAGGAATGGAATACACATTCATGTGAATAAGATAAATATCTGAGGAGCAAATGAAAAGATCACTGAACTCATTAGTCATCAGGAAATTGCAAATAAAAACAGAAGATAGCACTTCAGAGCCAATAACATGGCTGGATTTTTCAAGGAAAATAATACGTTTTCCTCATGGGTATGTAGACGTTGGAAAAATTACAGAAAGCTGGTGGTCAGGCAAAATTGTAAAACTGCTGTGGCCATGATTTGGGCAGTTATAGAAAAGGTTAAATGCAGAAAAACCACATGACCCAGTGATTCCACCCCTATATATATTCCAAGATAACTGAAAAGATGTGTCCGACAGAAATTTCCATGAACGTTCACAGCAGCTCTATTCACAGTAGCCAAAAATGAACAATCCCAAACATTCACTGCCTCATGAACTGATAAGCAAATGTGGTAAATTGATAAAAATGAAAACTATTCACCTACAAAAATGAACAAGATACCGACACAGGCGACCACAAGACTGAACTTTGAAAACATTACTGCACGTTAAAGAAGCAGACACCAAAGACCACATATTATATCAGTGCATTTATATGAAAAATCCAGAATAGGTGAATCGATAGAGACAGAAATCATATTAGTGGTTTTTAGGGGCTTTGAGAGACAGGAATATGAAGCGGCTGCGTGAAGGAAGTGGAGTTCCCTTTTAAGGCAATAAAATGTCTTCTAACATGACAGTGGTGACATTTAACAAACCACGTAAAAATACTGTGTCACTAAACTGTACACTTTAAAATTGTTAAAATGGTGAATGTAATTTTATGTAAATTCTGCCATCACACACCTTAAAAACACATTACATTCAATTTATTTTTATATTAATATTTTTAAGGTAACAGAAACCACATTTTAAAGAAACCCACAAAGCAAATGAAGAAAAATTAAGAGTACCTGAGTGTGACTTCTGTTGAGCTTGGACAGGAGACACTGAGGACAGAAAGGACAGCCTGGGTACTCTCTGCTCCTGCTCCTCAGTGGAAATTCTGTACTAAGTGCACACTGAGCTCCTCCTAATTCCAAGTCCCCTCTTGCCTTCCATCAAAGAGGTTTGTGTCTGTGCTCACACTGAGTTCCCCTCACTGTGTTTCTTGTACAGTAATACACAGCCGTATCCTGCACTATCAGGCTGCTCATGGTTAAATGAGCTTGGCTCTTGGAGGTGTCCCTCATGATGCTGACTCAGGATTTAAGAGCTGTATTATACATTGTGCTTCCACAACCCCTTATCACACACACCCACTGCAGCCCCTTTCCTGAATGCCGGTGGATCCAGTGCAAACCATAGCTAGTTAATGTGGATCCAGAGACATCACAGGTGAGGGACAGGGTCTATGAAGTTACACCAGGCCAGGTTCTGACTCCTGCCACTGCACCTGGGACAGGACACCTGGGGACAAGGAGCATCACCATCAGTCAAACACACCAGAAGCCCCATATCCGGGTCCCT